AGGTGTTCTGAGGTCCAGAAGGCTTCCACCCAGATTTCAGAAGAAGGCCTGGAAGGCCAGGCAGTGTGCCCCTGAGAGGGCAGTGTGTGAAGCTGTGAATGAGAAGCCTATGCAGTGGAAACCTCAGTAGTCTGAAAAAGCCAGGAATGTGGATGGTCTAAGAAAAACCACAAAAAGGGAACAAAGCAGGCCTGAGAGAAAAGCCATAGGCGCTACCAGCAGAAGTGCCACAGGGGTGGAGCCACATAGTGCTTTTGGAGCTCACAGCTCATTACAGGGTGCTCTGAATGGTCCACAGGGAACTACAGGACTTAACATTTGCCATTCGGGACTTTGGGCGTGATTTGGTCCCAACTGTTTGTATCCGGCTGTGTATCCCTTTTGGAATGGCAGTGCTTATCTTGTGTCTTTGAATGTTGGAAGTGTTTAAGTTATCATTTGTAGAGGGGCTCGCAGCTAAGAGTTTGCCTCAGATCTTGGAAGCTTGGGACTTGGACTTTTCAGAGCTGCTGAAACTGGTAGGACTTTGGCAACTCTTAGAGATGGACTAAAATGTCTTTTGCATAAATGGTTGTGCATGAGTCTTTGGAGGGCCAGGGGTAACATGTCATGGTTCTAATGTTACACAATGTTCAAGTTGTAAAATGTTTAAGCATGGCTGTGTACCTGGAAATTGGCTTAAAAAAGTATATGTCTAGTTGACAAGTTGACAAGGGGTGGATTGTGTTAGTTGATACATTGTGTCAACTTGGCTGAATCAGCTGGGGCAGTTCTCAGGGTGGGGGCCTCACCCTGCAGGTGGGCAGGGCCCAGGAATTGAGAAAGGCAGGAAGCCGCCCTGCCTGCTGTCCTGCTGCCCTGTCCTGGTTCAGTGGAGAAGTCTCAGTCTTCGGAGGAGCTTGATCCTGGCAGCCGCGCCACTTTGATGGAGCTCCGATATTCACCGCGGAGCGCAGTCAGTGTAGAAGGAAGAGAGAGGCTTGATGGACACCGCGGCTGCTGCTCCTCCTCTGCTCTTCATTGTGTTCTGCCGCATGAACTGCTGTCATTTCCGTGGAGCCAGCAGACTATGGACTGAACCTCCAGTAACTGTGCGCCAAATAAACCTTTCCTTCCTTCGTTTTGAGTGTTGGGTATGAGTAAACAGTAACTAAGACAATCTGGTTAGAAAAATAACAGCTGCTGGCTGTTTTGCTGATTGAGGACGCACCAGGCCCATGCGTGTGCCAGGTGCACACGTCCCCTGCAGTGCCACCCACCCCCGCAGTCAGGCTACCAACACCCTCTGTTTACATGAAAGTACGTCCTATTCCTGCATCCCTGACCCTTGGGAGCCTAACGGACCACAACGGACGAGCAGGACCAGCAAGCCCCATGGCTTGACCTATCTATGCTTGTAAATTCATTTAGCAAAGCAACATAACATTGGCTTTCTTAACTTGCTACGTGGGAGAGAAGGCGGATGACATTACAAAGCCTTCACATGTGTGGCTTTAAAAATCCCTAGAAAAGTAATCTGTATGTGTACAGGTTTTGTGGTTGTCACTGTAGGAAATAACTTAGTGGTTACTTTCATGTTTTCATGAAAATCAAAACACTCTGGCAAGGGAAAAACAAATATTCATTTTGGGGTGCTAGATTTCCTTTTTTAATTCAGGAACAAAAACTGTTATTTAAAATGATTAATATGATTAAAATGGGCATTATAAATTGATTAATGAGAAAGAAAATTCATTCTTCATAAAGCAAAAGTCCTCTTTAAACGAATCAGTCATGTTATTAGGCCGGCAAGCTAGCTCAGCGGATTAAGTGCCTGCTTTGGCAAGTGCAGAGACCAGGGTTCTATCCCCGGTCCACAGGCCAAGCCAGCCCCACCCCAGGGTGCACTGAGCTGGGGAGCGCACCTGTAATCCCAGCACTAGGGAGGCTGAAAACAGGAGGATCACTATGAGTCCGAGCTGCGGTGAGATCCTGCACATGAGCCACACCCTCTACCTCCCAACATGCTGGCATGGCTGCACGTGCCACCAGGCCCAGCCTTAGCAATACCTTCATCTATGCTTTTTGTTTGTTAATAATGAACTCCTATGTACAAGTGTCTTATAAGTCCTGCTTTGCTTTCCAGTATTTTTGATATTAATCTTTTTATGTGAAAACATTATAATCATAATAATCACATAACATACTCATATAATGACATATTTAACATTATAATCATACAATATCCCTATATCCCTCATCAGACAGGTTAGTACAGAGGTGGTGTGGAAATGTCCGAGAAGCAGCCACTTGCTTGCACACTGCTGACAGGACTCTACATTTGCCTAATGCTCTCTTTGGAAAATACTGCCTCTGACTGTGTTCAGCTCTCTGTATTTTCTGATTATTACTATTTATTATATGTGATATGCAAAAAATGAAAAAAAAACTTCCTTTCAATTTCTGTGCAAGTTCTGTTCCCATTATCTACACCTTCCAATGTGTTTCTAGTTCCATTTGTTGCCCCCTGACTTGCTGTGTGTCCCCTGGGTCATTTGCTTTACATAGGAGGATTGTCCTCCCACTGGTCAGTGGCACATCACAGGCCTATGACCAAAATCTAGGTCTCTCAGACAAATCCCCAGTACTTCCAGAGCACCTCCCAACAGATGTGTCACTCTCCTTCCTCCCTCTTTGGTTTCCTAACATGTCATTTCTTGACTCTTTTTTTTTTTTTTTTTTTCCTCTTATACTCTGCAGGGACTAATGAAACACAAGCAAAACGCTTGCTCTGAGTGCCTGTGGCCTGAGCCCTCTGGTTACCTCAGAGATAAGGTGCCCCCAAGACTCCCTCCACTCTTCACGGGATTCAGCCCTCAGCCTCTGCAGGCAGCCAGCCCAAGGCCCAGGCCAGCAGCAGCAGAACCCGAGGAGGTGACCCTTGACTT